TGTAATTTATCAAAAAATAAAAAACAAAAGCAAAATCAAAAAAACCACCACTTGTCATCCTTACATGTGCAGAGGAATATGAAATTTTATGTTGGTATAATCCAGAATAAATAATTATTGAGCAAATTACATATTATAGGTCTCGTTTGGGAATTAAATATTTTAATTGAAAAATTAAAAATTATTATAAATTATCACATTATATTTTTTATTTTTTTATATATATTAAAATTATTAAAATAGTCGGTTGGGATAGTATATGTTTACTTTTACGTTTTGGCTAGTCCATCACGGCAACCTACTTTACGTTTCAGCCATTTAGTTCATCACGACAACCCATGATTCGTACACGCAAGCACGCACTTATTAAATAATTTAGTAGTGTTTAATAGAGTTTAGAATTATGATTTAAAAATAGAGTTGTATTATTTTGATTTTGTAAATTTTAAAATTATGATTTAAAAAGAGAGAATTTGTTTGGTTATGATTATTGAATTGAGTTTTCAAAACTTAATTGAAAAACTTATAATTAATAACCAAACACACAACTCAAAACTCTATTGAAAATTCTATTTTAAGCTCATAACCAAATTTTTTTTAAAATTCAATTCAAAAAATAATTTGTCATTTTCGTGTAAAAATATAATTTTATATTTAAAAAATATCAAAAACAAATATTTTTTTTTTCCACATAAAAGGTGACGCTTTTATTACCTTATGATAAAAAAAAAAAAAAAAAAAAAAAAAAAAAGAGGAGTATTATTCCGGTCAATCGGCCGGACATCCGAGAGGATGTTAAGTTTGACGATCGGGTAAACCAAAAATTTAAAAATTGTCTGATTTACCAAATATATTTTCAAAATGTATTTTGAAATTAATTTGGAATTATGATTTAAAAACTTTAACCAATCATAATATTAGAATGTAAAACTAGCTCCAAACACAGCCTTTCATTTTCATTTTCATTTTTTTATTTTTTATTGAGATGGAACACATAAGCATCAGATGCCAAATTCTTCCTAGATACCTTGCAATTAAAGGTGTTGGTGGTGTAGTGATTAGTGATTATTATCATTAGTGGTGCTTAACGGATACACTGACTCATTTAAACTGATCTAATTGAATCGATTCGATACATTTTAGATGAATGTATGATGACAACAGGATGAATATAGATTGATTTTCTTCAATCCATCTAATTTTGGACGGATAACAGATTAAAAATTCTTTAGCCGTAACCAAATCGTGAGTACTCCTAGTTTACAATCATTGTTAATATAGAAGTTTGTTGGATTATTATCTATGTTTATAGTCATTATTAATAAGACATATTGTATTGTTATCCAAAAACAAAAAACAAAAAAATTTGTGTCGACTGGTTTTATTATGTTGAAAATTTGTAAAATGTAAACTGCCAAATCGATTCGGATCTATTCGTTAATTCGACAGATGATTGCTGATTAATTTTTCTCAATCTGTTTAGTTTTAGATAAATGACGAATTAGAAATTTCCAAATCACAACCGAACAGCTTAGCACCTCTAATTATTATAATAACAACGTTATTTTCCTCTGGTTCACATCATCATTTGACAAAAGAACACCTTGTCCGGTTCTCTCTTCGTTTTCAATTTTTTTTCATGTTTTCAAATATTAAAAAAACTAAAAATATTCATCGTTTTTATTTTTTTTTATGAAAAACAGTTCTAAAAAATTCAAAAAATAATTTCTTTAATTTTTCCTAAAAAGTTAGTTGCTTTCAGAAAAATGTTATCGAAAAACAAAATTTGAAAATTTACCAAATAAATTTTGTGTTTGAAAGAATCCAATTTCTCTCTGAGGGGTTGTTTGGGGTGTCCTAAATAAATATATTTTTTGTCTTTTTGAATTAAAAAAATTGAGGAAAAAAAGATGGATATTTAGGTTAATTTTTTGTCTTTTTATAAAAAAATATGTAATAAAAAATTGTACAAATAAAGTGTATAGTGGAAGAAAGTTAATTAGTTGTACGGCTGCCCGGCTGTCCCAGCATGTCTTACACAGAAAATAATTGCCTCATTCAGGGCAAAGTGTTTGGACAATGATGGTCGATCCATGGGGGCCACCATGGGTCCCATTTTAATAATCTGAACCATCAATATGTACAACTCGTCACGTTGATCGGATATCGATAACTATATGATCAGATTAGTTTTTTTTTCAACAGTTAACTATCACACCATCTGTTTTGTTTATACAAAACTGATTTGATTATATAGTTAACGATATCCGATCAACGTGATTTTTTATAGGCATATATTACGCGACGAGTTCTATATATTGAACGGTTCGAATTATCAAAACGGAACCCTTAGTGGGCCCCCAAGGGCCCAACATTACCATCAAACTTTGTGACTTTACGTATGTAATTTTTTTTTTGGCCCAAAAAGTGTATAATGCCTTCCTGCTTCACAAGTACGGCTGACAGAGCTTGATCAAACTTTTGTATTATAAAAATATATAAAACATTTTTTTAATATTTTTTATTTGTAAATAATAATAATTTTTTTACTTTTTATGTAATTTTTTGATTTTTTTGATTATTTTAGACTTGTCAAACCAGTCCTCAATTCGGCCTAGTTGGGCCACTATAGATGTCAACCTAATGATATGAATTTTTCATTTTATAAACAGTTCTATATAGATTATTGAAGAAAAATTTAAATTAATTTAATAATCATAATCATATAATTTTATCAAAATAGTCATCTAATGAAATTATGTAACTATAATTATTAGATTGATTTGATTTTTTTTTTATATAGATAATTTATAGATAATGATTTAAAAAATGAACTGTTAAAATAATTATTAAAGTAAAATTTGTGATGGAGCTCTGAACTGACTTTCTCTGCCACTGAAAAAAAGTCATATTTTCTTTTTTTAAAATGAACAAAAACGAATGGACAGCCAACATGCTTATTCTCTTTATTACTATGGAATAGATTAATGATTATTATTATTTCCAAATAGGACAGTTGTTGGTGATGTAATGTATAGCAATTTTGTTATCATAATTATAATTATAATGGACTAACTAATAAGGCATACGGGGTCACCATCGTTTGTTTTTTCGATGGCGCATACTTAAGAGATATTTCAATTGTTTAGGGTTTGTTGGCATATTCTGTGACTGTGAGCACAAAAGTGTGGATATTCTTAAACTGATTCTAAGTATCGCGGATGTGTCGCATGCAACATCTCATGGTCCCCATTGCATGTTAAATGACCCAATTAGTCAACCCCCCCCCCCCAAAAAAAAAAAAAAACAGACAAGGTATGATGGACTTAATAAAGGTAAACTCATCTCATACTCACTTTATTTTTTCAAAAGTATCAAAAGATGTATATATTTTTTAGATTTTAGTATGTTTGAGGTTGATATAATATTCTCGAATCAATAAGAGTATTAGTAATTGGATGACAGAAGCCGACTTGGGCCTCCTTATTAGTAAGGTCGGATTAATTTGTCTCCTTTTGTATAGTTTTGTTGATGGAGAATACTACTACATGCACATGTCTCGAGAATACTTCAAAAAAACTAAATAATTTGTTCTATTTCAAAGACATTATTAGCTTGCGAAGGTTAATCCATGAAACTCTCTTTAGCTCAAGTAAATTTACAAAAAAAAGTTGTTATTAGGGTTAGAAGGCTCAAAATTATTTGTATTGAAATTCCTCTTGTTATCTGGATGCATTCATAGCCACTAAATTATATCTCCTAATTGTTAGTAAATTAGGACTGAAAAAACATAAAAATAAAAATTTTGAAACAAAAGATCCCTTGATCTGCTAGAAGTAGAGATAGCATAGATAATGGATTAATTTTGCGACTTTTTTTTAGAGGGTTTTAATTTTGTGACTTTAAAAATAGAAAAATTAGTAAAAATTAGAGATAATATAGTATATTATGAATAATGATTTATAATTAATAAGAGTTAAAAAATGTAAGATGATAAATAAATTAGTAAAAATGAATGTTAACTATAATATTTTAATATTTTAATCTTATTATATTAAAAATCAAATTATATACAGATAAATATATTTAATATATAAAATTGGGATATGATAAGTTAGATCAGGATAGAGGTACAAAACTTATTCTCACCTGACTTGTTTATCGAGACAGGACAGACAGATGTGAGGACAGAGTGAGATGGAAAAACATTATCGTTGATAGTTAGAAGGCACTATCATATCATTGGAGAATAATAGTAGTGAAGGTCATCGGTTGATTTTGAACTTGGGACAAAAATAAAAAAAATATTATGAACTTCAAATAATTTATTAAATATTTTATCAAATTTCTTATATGAGTGTGGGACCTATACAAACTCACATGTGTGTAAGTCTCATACTTATATGAAAGGTTTGATAAAATATTTGATAAATTATTTAAGATCTCTAATATCACTTCAAAAATTAAGCAGCCCAAGTTCCTCCAAAAATTAATGAAAATCAAGGGGTGTATTTTGGACATTTCACGTTATTCAGTTAGGGGACAGGTTTGAAATCAACCTTAAACCCTCAATTAAAAAAGGCTTACTTGAATATTTAAACCTCCAACAATTATATTCAAATCCAAACAAAACGTTAAAACACCTCAAGTAACACAACAGTCTCCGAGAAATCCAGAAAATCCACATGCCACGTACCCATATTCACACGTGTCATCATCTAACAGTAACATTACGAAACCTCACTGAACCTATAGGTGACCACTTGAAAGAATAATATTATAATATCATAGATCATAAAATAAATATCATCATAAAATAAATATCATAAAATATATTATGAAATTTTTTTATTTTTTAAATATTGTGTGATTTTTTTATTATAGATGTAATCTTAAAAATAAAAAAATTTCGTAACCATTTTGATGATATTTTTTCCCCGCCACTCAAAACTGCGTCACTTGTTTTTGCTTCTGACAAAACATATATATATATATATATCATAGTTTCTCTCACTAAAATCCAAGCTTTCTCTCTCTATATCTACATCTATATATATAATTTTGAGTGAAGCTTTGTTTTCTCTCTCTACTCTGAAAGAGGACATGCCAAAGCGAGTTACTGGCGATTCGACTAGGTGCAGAGAGAGAGTATTCGAATGTCGTCGGAATATCCCACTACCGGCGCCGCAAAGTACGTTCCAATCCAGCCCTACGGCCCAGAACCGCCGAGAATATTCGAAGAACTTCCTAGAGGAACGATTGTTTCAGTTTCGAGACCCGACGCTAGCGATATTAGCCCCCTGCAATTGTCTTACACCATTGAAATCCAATACAAACAGGCACTTCTCTCTCTCTCTCTCTCTCTCTCTCCCTCTCTTCCAATTTATATATATATATATATATGTAATTGTGTGTATATTGTGTTTTTGTTTTGTACTTGTGTAGATGGTGAGAAAGGGAAAAAGGAAGAAAGAAATCATTTTAATTAAAGCTAAACTGTGGTAATAAGCGTGATTTAGTGCAGATTTAGCAATCGATTTTTTTTAAAAATGGATTTCAACTTTATTATGATGAATCGAGTATCTACAAATTTTGAAAACTGCCAAATATATAAGTTATTAATAAAATTCAGTTCTTGACTGAATCTTCTTTATGCTGGTTGTAAGAGATGAATGACGCGTCAATTTTGAGGTTTCAAAGCTTCGTTTAATTTGATAAAGAATTGGTTGTTGTGTTTATACCTTCTTTTCTTGTTGTTTGGAATTGGTTAAATTAGACAAATGGTCCCTAAATATGTCTGTTACATTTTAGTCCTCAATTTTTTTAATTTTCTACTTTGGTCCTCAACATATGAAACTTGTTACACTTAAAAGTCCCTAGCATCAATATTGTTCAAAATTAGTAATGGGTATTTTTGAAATTTTATATGTAAAACAAAATTAAATATTAGGAACGGAAATGCAAAAAAATGTTTACTTTGGAGACTAAAATGAAACAAAACGCATATTTTGGGAACTAAAATGCTACAAAATGCATACTTTGAGATCTATTTGGTCGTTTTGATTTTTTTGAGGTTTCATGTAAAATTTCAAAAATACCCTTCATCTCGTTATTGATTTTGATCAACGCTGAGTCGTTGACATTAGGAACTAAAGTTTAATGGATCGCATAATTTGAGGAGCAAAGTGAACAATTTAAAGATTGGGTATTAAAGTGTAACATAATGTATAATTCAAGACCATTAGTGCAATAAACCCTTTGGAATTTAACATTTTAAAGAACTCTACAAATAAAATGTTGTTGTGAATTTGGTTAAAAATTGATTGTATGTTTGATATGTTGTTGTGAATTATTTAGAATTTAGAAAACTGTAAATTGTTCAGCTCTTAATTAAATTCCAATGTATGTTTGATTATGGCAAAAGCTTCATTTAATTTGATAAAGGATTGATTGATGTGTTTATACCTTCTTGTTGTAATGTTAATTTTCACCAAGAAGGGGATGATTTGTTGGTGAATTGTCCATATTACTTGCTGCAGTAAATTATTATTTATTTATAAGAATAGGGCTGTGGTGGAGCATTATTTGAATTTTTTGTTTTGATTCTTATGAAAATGACAATCACATTCAATGGAGAATATTTCATTTCAACTAATGGGGACCACTTGGTGCTAGTAACTAGGAATATGGAATTAAGTCATAAAAGTATTTATGGACAACGTTCATAGATTGATTAGTGCTGTACTGGCTTTTTGTTTCTGATTGAAATGTTGGAAACTTTTAATAGTTGTAGTTGAATGCGATGTGTGCACCAAAATGTTCTTTTTTATCTTTCAGTTTGTAGTTTCAAGTTTATGCATTAGTCATGGAAATTGAGTTTTGTTTGTTATAGATGTCAGAATTTTTTTGCAATGTGGACCAGCACATCTCCGTATTAAACCAAATGAAAAGAATGGTCAATTGAGAGTAGACCAGATGGATCTAAGAATTATTTGTGATCCCCAAATTGAAAATAATGCTTTTTATTAAAAGTCGTTTATGGGTTAGGACTTGCAATGTTGGATATATATATACAGACAGAGTGTTGGTCTCTACTCTTGCTCATGAGTTGCAGTCTTTCCAATAGGCTTAGCAATGAAAAGTAAGGGGAGAGAGTAAAAAAATTCCTCTACACTTACAAGGTTTGCCTATTTGAATGAAATTAGGAAGACATGAATACAGTTACGCACACTTTTACAGCGGAAATAACACTGATGGAAATCTTTTGATGTTCTAGACTATGTATATATATATTTTTTAATCTTCTACTTATTTTTAGATTCTCATAACTACAAATTCTTTCAGATTTGAAAGTATCAGTTCTAATTCTTTTGGCATGTTGTTTGTCGTCTTCTTACCTATGTTTGGTGTGGTTATGAGATTACTTTGCTTTTCATATATTCTCATGTTTTAAGACTTGTTGAAATGATAACAGAAAGGGTCTACAAATCTGAAGCAAGATGCTCTTCCTTTTCATGCTTTTTACCTTTTGTGTTTCCTCTTAAACAATATCAATACTATGGAACACTCATTGTGTCTTTATTCAACAGTTTAAGTGGCGCTTACTAAAGAAAGCTTCACAAGTTATCTATTTACACTTTGCTTTGAAGAAGCGTGCAATAATTGAGGAACTTCATGAGAAACAAGAGCAGGTGTGCTTTTGACTTGTGCCCCTTCCTTACCCTTTTATTATGATCTCTCTCTCTCTTTTAGGGTATGTATGGAATTCTTCACAATGAACTTCTTAGTTAGAGTTTTGTAACGCACTTGGATTCAGATTTAGCATCTTATATGTTATGGGATTCCAATTATTTTTATGTGAATTTCTGGACTTCTGTTTTGATTTGTTGTTGAATCATTACATAAAAGGTAAAAGAATGGCTTCTCAACATTGGAATAGGAGACCAGACAGCAGTTGTGCATGACAATGATGAACCTGATGATGGAGCTGTTCCCATACATCATGAAGATGGTGCAAAAACCAGGTGATTGCTAATACCATATTGACAGCATTTACTGCTTGACACCATGCAAATTTTTGTTCACAATAACAGTTGTTCTTACTGGCTAGTTTTTTTTTTTTTTTTTTTTTTTTTTTTTTTTTTTTTCAGATATGTTCCATCCAGGGCTGCTTTGCCAATCATTCGTCCAGCACTGGGAGCACAGCAGACCATTTCAGAAAATGCAAAAGTCGCAATGCAAGGGTATCTGAACCACTTTTTGGGAAACATGGATATTGTGAATTCACGAGAGGTGTGCACCTAACTTTTTTTGCCTAACAACCTCCAGTTGGTCAGTTTATCTTATTCTGATATGAACATGATCCTTATTTTCATTACACTATTTTAATAAGGTGAAGACAAAGCTCCCTTTGGTCACAGTAGATTGCTTGATACTTCCAAACTTTTTTTTATTGTGTAATTTGCTCATTTATGTATCTGTCTGTTCTCAGTCTTCTGCCTCCATTCTAGTCCATGACAATTTTTTTTGAATTGTAGGTCTGCAAGTTTTTGGAGGTCTCTAAGTTATCGTTTTCACAAGAATATGGTCCAAAGTTGAAAGAAGGTTATGTAATGGTTAAGCATCTTGCAAAAATTCCAAAGGATGACGATTGTCATGTGTGTCGTTTGTTTGACTATTGTAACAAAAATTGGCAAAAGGTAACTGAACAAATGGAAATCAGTTTTGTTATTGTGTCTGCGCACAAAAAGAGATGCATAGACATAAGTATTATCATAGTCTTTTCCTGCACATAAGTTCCATGTCTTCCAAAAAGCACAACACCCCATGGTGATCTTATGTCAGTTGAAATTTGCCATTTTATGTAGAAAAATCCTCAATATGAAATAATTGACTTGGGTTCAAAGCTGGCCATTATCTTGTCCACCATTTGCATACATCGACATTCTCACACTTGGCCACCTTTGAATCTTGAAATTTGGAAGTTTTTTGTGTCCTTTTATGAACTTTGGGTTGCTCAGTTTTCGGTTTGAGTGTTCTTTTTAGGATGACAACATTAACATATGTCTCCAAAAAGATTTAGACCTGATTGTACTTTCCAGGAAAACGGACTGATCAATTATAGAAAAGTGAAGATCATTAATTCCCTCTCTGAATTTATTGAAGCTGATTGCAATGGATGCTTCAGTTTAATAATTATACATATTTTCTGCATAATTTAATCCCTGAGCAATAGATAAAATGCAGGATTTTCAACTAAAAGCAGGATGCGTTTCTAGATTATAATGAAGCTGATTGTTCTTTCTTGATGGTCATGCAACATGCATGTTCTTTTGACAATGTAAAGATTCTGTTTAGATTATTGATTGTCATGTGAGATACACATCATTGTGTATTTCTTCACAGCAAGTAACGGAGTGTCACCATGTGGCATGAAAATCATAAAATATCATACATTAAGCACAGACAAGAATAGTAATGAATAAGTACCATCCTTGTCAACATCTCTTGAATCAGGGGTTCTTGGACATCCCTATAATGATATATGGAACCTTTTATCAATGCCATATTTATAGTTTATGGGAAGTCATGTCATGGAAGCATTGGGCAACCTCACCAATTTTGTAAACAGATCCTCTCGGCGAAGGTTCTACAACTCTATCTATGCATTCACCTTCTGTGCTTTTAAGTACCTCTGTTAGTTTATATCTAACAATAGTCACCAAGGTCCAGCTTAACAAAAAGGAAACTTGAGTACTATAGGACTTCCTTAGCTGTGATTGAAACTCAGGTAGCTGTGGTCTTTGTTATGAGACCATTAACTTTGTAATTGCTGCTACCACAATAAATCTTTCAAATATCATCTAAATTTATACCTGTGTGCTACGACTCTATGATTGCTCCAATTGCACTTTTGCTTTTGTGTATGTACGTGACCACCTTTCATTTCCTATGTAGGTTTGGGCTGTATTGAAACCTGGGTTCTTGGCCTTACTGGAAGATCCTTTTGATACCAACCTTTTAGATATAATCATTTTCGATGTGTTGCCAGCTTCAAATAAAGATAAAGAGGACCAAGTACATTTGGCAGAGGAGATAAAGCATCGCAATCCTTTACGTTATGCAGTTAAGGTTAGCTGTTTTTAATCATTTTAATTTGTTGAAACTTGAAAATCAAAGATGGCTGGAGACCCTGGTTGCCTTTATTTGACTTCAGTCATCTGCTGTGTTCAGTACCACTTTACCCCTGATTTGTGAACACCCTCTGAAGTAACATTTTGATTCGACATGGCAGTGTTATTTGCAATAATTAATCATCAGTGTGATCTCCAAAATAAATAAATAAATACATATGTATATCATTGGGAATATTTAAATTCTTGACTATATGGCCATGTCTTTCTGTAAAATTTAATGTATAAAGAGAAATAGAGAGAGAATAAATTGTATGTATTATTGATTAATAGATATTGATATATTGTATTACAATGATTCATGATTCCTATATATAGAAGAGGGTGAGTGTGTAGTAGGTAAGGAGTAGGTGAAGTGGAGGTGGTAGTGGTGTAGTGGGTTAGGTTTGATGGAGTAGGTTTAAGTGGGTGAAGTAGGTGGAGAGTAGGTGGATGAAGTAACATTTTGATTTGACATGGCAGTGTTATTTGCAATAATTAATCATCAGTGTGATCTCCAAAATAAATAAATAAATACATATGTATATCATTGGGAATATTTAAATTCTTGACTATATGGCCATGTCTTTCCACCCGACATAACACCTAAGTAGCACAGACACGGACATGATACGAACACGCTGACATGACAATTTTCAGAAAATGCAGGACACAACATGCCTAGGACACATTAAAATTGATATTTTTATAAATTTATTATTTGTAAAACATAACACCAATTAAAATTAAACAACCATATATTCCATAACTTAAACATCAAAATATCATTCATATAATGATTGCATTCTAAATAATACAAAACAATTGTAAAATATTGAAATACACATGTGCATCTTATAAATATGTCAAAACATATTCGAAGTGCACAAATTGCATTTTGAAAAATTCAAAACATTATTACAATGAAGAGATTTATCGCATAGGTCGCGTTTGGAGAGATCAAGAAGTGTCGCCAAAGTGTCTAATATAAGGAATATAAAATTTTGACTTAAACACATTGAAGAAGTGTTGGACACACTTTAGGAGTGTTTGCAAAGTGTGACCTCCACATTATTACTATCATGGTTGTTAGAATCTTATGATTCACGATTCGATTCATATGAATTGGTACAAGTTTCAAGCAAAACGATTCGATGCGCACGGTTGAATCTTAAATGGAGTGAATCTTACAATTCATTGTGATTCATCACGATTCAAGTGATTCAGTTCACATAATGCATGGAATGACATCATTTTCCAAAATAAAAAAAGAGATCAACTACATATATATGTATATATATAATTTTATTTTAAACACTATTTGTGTATTTTTATATGTATATATATATATACATATGTAAAATTATATAGTATGCTAAGTAAAGTGAATCTTGTAATTCACAAATCAATTCACGATTTGACAACAATGATTACTATAATAATGGTATCGAAAGTCCAAAAAAACCTCCATGTCCACTGAATATTGTGACCTATATATTATTACTATATTTTTTTTTTCTTTTTACACATGGAGCAAATGCCATCTATCTGATTTCTTGAACTGAAATGTCCTGTTATATTATTTGGGAAATACTCTAATGTACTTTGAGTGGTTCAGCTTATTTCTTCAAGTGTTTTAGGTATGATTGTTTAGAAATCCACAAATTTACTTCCATTGGAAACAACGTTAATTGTAATTGTTCTTTTTTCTTCCTGTTGCAACCGTTGAAAGGTTTCTTGTGAAAACCGGATCATTAAGTTAAGAACCACAAGTAATGCTAAAGTCAAAGCATGGGTTTCTGCAATCAATGATGCTGGTCTAAAGCCTCTTGAGGGTTGGTGTCATCCACATCAGTTTGGTTCTTTTGCTCCTCCAAGAGGTTTGATTGAAGATGGCAGTCAAGCTCAATGGTTTGTAGATGGCAAAGAAGCATTTGAAGCAATTGCCTCTTCTATAAAGACTGCAAAATCAGAGGTTCAACTCTCACATTACAAAGTCCCAGAGTGAATTAAGATTTGCCTATGTTTGACCATCAAATATTCAAATAACTAAAGGTTGTATGCAGATATACATAACTGGATGGTGGCTTTGTCCAGAGCTGTATTTGAGACGTCCCTTTCACAATCACAGTTCCTCCCGGCTTGATGCTTTACTTAAAGCGAAAGCTAAGGAAGGGGTCCAGGTGAATGTGTGAATTTGTTTGATTATTTGCGTCACCTTGATGCTTTTCTGTTAGAATTTCCCATCTTTACCTTCACCTACTCCACTACATACTCCACTTCACCTACCTCTACTCCACTACACACTCCACTTCACCTAACCCACTATCACCTCCACTACACCTACTACCACATTTTCTTCTATATATAGATTGTATAGGAATTGTAATTAATGCATCTTGTAATCTATCAATCAAGACATCAATCAATAATACATAAATTCTTACATTTTCTAATAAAGTTTGATTATTTATCCCCAAAAAAAAGTTACACTAAATCCATCTATATTTGGAGCTGCATTTGACTCACATATAATATGTGCCATTTTCAGAACACAGTAGACTAAATCTATAATCAAGCTAATTATCTACTTTTGCTGACATGTTTAATTCAGAACACTTTTTATTTCCTGGCAATTAGCTTTGAATGTTCTCCGGGGTTTATTTTCTTAAATCAGTTAATGATGGGAAGAATAACCTGATTTTTTGTTGTAAGAATCAGGATCCAGATCCATGCCACTTCACATGAATGTAACCATATCATCTTGGGCTGCGTATAGCCGAACTATTAGGGGAAGCACACCATAAAATCTTCAGGTTCTGATTACCTAACATTAGATTGCTTACACGATGCTTTAGTTGTGGACATATAATGGACTTGAGCAGCACCTTGTATTTGTTGCAATGACATGGGAATCACTGTAATATTGAAATTCCTGAAGTCAGGTGCATTATAGTGCAATTGGAAGCTCTGAATTCTCAGTTCTTATTTGCACATGCTAGCATCTACATTAACTGATAATTTATTGTGGATACATTACAAATTTAGAATCAATTGCTTCTCATAAATGATGAACAAGTGTGCTGATCTATTCACTAGATCACTATCTCATGGACTCAAATTAAGGCATGAGTTGCAGCAGTGTCCAGCTTCGTCATATTCAATGAATTTCTTGAGTATCATAATGCTGAATGTTTTTCACTTCATTAGATTGTTGTCCAATGCTTTAAGATTTCATTGTCTGTTACGCTTGAAGTATGGATCTGTGTTGGAGTAGAGTGGTAGTCAGGGAATCTATCTTTAATATGCATTCTAGTTGTTGAGCTATCTCATTATCAATCATGAATCAAAACTAAATTTTAATCAAACAATTATGCAGATTTACATTCTTCTCTACAAGGAAGTTTCTATTGCTTTGAAAATTAACAGTTCATACAGTAAGCAACTGTTGGTTGACATTCACGAGAACGTGAAAGTACTGCGCTATCCTGACCGTTTCCCTACTGGCATTTACTTATGGTACGCAGTTCATCTATGCAATCCATTTAACATTCTTGCCAACAATGAGATTGGCAACTGAATTTCCTCATTCAGATCTAAAATTAGTACTCCCTTTTTACTTGGTTTCTTGAGACACTGATTGAATGTGCCTAATTATGTACAGGTCACACCATGAGAAACTTGTCATTGTTGATTACAACATTTGCTTTATTGGAGGACTAGATCTATGCTTTGGCCGTTACGACACAATTGAACACAAAGTGGGTGATTACCCTCCGTCCATATGGCCTGGAAAGGACTACTATAACCCACGGTGGATATTGTTTTCTCTCTATGACTGGACCATGATTTGGGAGTGAGAACTTTGATAAATATTGTGACCTATTGACATTGATTTGATGGTACAGAGATCAGAGGGTAGACCCCTTTCAGTCAGTGGAGTATCCCTAGGAACGTACCTAATTTGATTCGCTCTTCATTTTAAGAGCTCTTTGATGGATAAACGTTCATATTTTAGTACTAAATAATTTAGGTAATGGTGGAAGATATCACCATTTATGGCATATTGCTGACGACTTGACCTTCTATTTTTCGTACCTAGTGGAATTTGAAGGAGACTTCTGCTAACTTTTGTTACTTACAATTCTTTGATTTGTTTTTACCTTATTTTGTTCTGCTAGCACTTAGTTGTTTGATTCATTTTTTATTAATTTATTCTGTCTTATTATTTGGGCTAGAGAACATGAACCAAATTCTTGGGAAGACACCATGAGAGATGAACTGGATCGTGAAAAATATCCTCGCATGCCTTGGCATGATGTCCATTGTGCTCTTTGGGGACCAGCCTGTCGTGATATTGCTAGACACTTTGTTCAGCGTTGGAACCATGCTAAGGTAGACCTTATGTTACTTTTAGTCCCTCATTGTATTTTCCCGTTATGTTTCATGTCTAATACTGTTACACAATCTGCCAGAGAAATAAAGCTCCAAAGAAGCAAGCAATTCCTCTACTTATGCCACACCACCACATGGTGCTCCCACATTACATGGGAAGAAGCAGAGAGATAAATGTGGAGAGTAATACAGAGGTAAAGCAGAAAGACATCAGTAGACAAGATTCCTTTTCCTCCCGATCACCGTTGGAAGATATTCCCTTGCTTTTGCCTCCTGAAGCTGATAATACATTAAATGGCCTAGACAACCATCAATTTCAACGTAATCTCGACCGGCCAAGCAAGATTGGTCAAAGTCCTCCATTCTCCATCCCACAGCCCAAAGTTGAACCTTTAATTCCAGATATGCAGATGAAAGGTGTTGTAGATGACCTTGATTTTATGGACCTTCAAAGTGAAACGAGTATAGATGTAGTGGCACAGTCTGACATACAAAATTCAGATGAGTGGTGGGAAACACAAGAGCGAGGTTATCAGGATGTTTTGGCTGATGAAACTGCACAAGTTGGTCCTCGTACCCCATGTCGGTGTCAGGTTAGATTTATCTCTTAAAATTCATCAAAATCTTTTATATTTTATTTCAAATTTCATTCTGTTTGAATAGGTTTTTTGATCCTTGTTCATTAGTGCATTAAGTGTAATTAGTTTTCAGAGTTTCATTTTGTGAGAAACCATTCAAAGCTGTCGAGAGACTCAGCTTGGAAAACCAGCACTGCTAACAGATTTGCAAGTTTCAGCATTTGGAAGAAAAATGATCATAGAGCTAGATAGCTGTTATAATCATGTCTATAATGCATTAGTATAATGATCCTGCCAGATAATGAGTATCATACATATAATTGTAGATAATTATTGCCTTTATGCACTCATGTATTTGAACTTTTTTTGATGTTTTATCTACTTGATGATATGCAGGTTATCAGAAGTGTCAGCCAGTGGTCTGCTGGAACCAGTCAAAGTGAAGATAGCATTCATACAGCATATTGTTCTCTCATTGCGAATGCAGAACACTTTGTCTACATTGAGGTAACATAATTATCAATAGAACTTTGTTTTCTGATAATAGTAAAAGTGTTCTTGATTTAGTTTTAGATATAGTCTAAAGAGCAGTATGAGTGAAACAGGCACCACATCAGGAGATAATTTGCCAACGTAATCATGAAACCTAAATTTGATCTTACGGTTTTGACATTCGTGGAAAAGAAATCTTAGTAACCATCATGCTTTCGGAACTTTACTTTTTTAATAAAACTCAACCTATGCCTAGTGTCACGGCCTTAGATTTCTAAGCCAACCGTGCGGCCTTAGATGCCTATCAACCCTCTTGGTTGCACCTAAGTCAGCCTCACCCACTCAACCACACTAACTTGAGCACAAAGTTTAGGTGGAAGAAATGCCTTCACTATACAAGTTAAATTTACAAGTATAGTCGTGTACAAAGCTTTACAAGGCTCTCATACTCACACTTACACTCACAAGTGCTTCACTCTTAGAGCTCTCTTGGATCTCCAGCATTCGATGCCTAACAAATGAGACCCCTCACCCTTATATAGCCATCCTCCTCCCTAATGGACGGCTAGGATCATTTTGATCCAAGGGCTACAAACTCTCATCTAGAACATTCCATAGAACTATCTAGGACAACTACCCTATCTACTACAATCTAGAACTCTCCACACTAGTGTAGTACATGGTAGGCTTCTCCAGGATAATCTAGGATGCTCCAAACCCATCCAGACTCCTCTGGACACTCCAAGGCTCTTCCATATTCTGTTCTAGAGTCTTCCAGCATACTCTAGCCCGCTCTTGCTCCTTCCAAAACCTTCCAGCACATTTGGCCACTTCAAATGCTGCTCCTCGTGTCACAGAAATTCTCGGGGCGTGACACTCTCCCCCACCCAATCCCATGATGCCCTCGTCACGCAGAAGCATACCAAGCCACCACGTCTCGATATGATCTGTGTCCGCTGCTGCTGGTGCTTGCTTCTTCGCCCTTGCCCTTGCCATGCTGCTCAGTCTGCTGCATTGCCGCAAGTGCCTTCTCCTTGTCCTTGAGTAGCTGACTCCTTGCCACCAATGGGACCTCACATGGTCGATCACCTGCAAACAACAACATGGTTGCAGCGTGCGGGACTGGCATCACATTGTTCTTCCTCATAAAATCCATCCCTAGGATTATGGGGTGGTCATCTATCTCAATGACCGTGAACTCCACCTGCCCAGTCCAACTCTCAATGGTCATGTCAGCACTCCTCACCAGGCCTTGGATTGGTGTCGCCTTCGCATTCACTGGCTTGGACCAACCCTTGTCCTCTTTGACCTTCAAGCCCAGCCTCTTAGCCTCTCCAGTGCTCACAAAGTTATGTGTGGCACTTGTATCCACAAACGCGTGTGAAGTTACTCCATTAACCTTCACCTCTGCGTACAACACATCCTTCTTCTGGATGCTCCTCGGCGCTTCCATCTTCCCATTCTTCTTGGTTATTGACCCCAGAAGTTGGACGCTCCCCAGCTGTGCTTCCTTCTCTGAAGCGCTTTCACTATCGGAGCCTTTCGCCACTTTCTTCTTCATCCACTATCTACCACCAACACCACTATCATATTCTATACATGCCACTATCCTTCACCAACACCACTATCATATTATATACATTAACACAAATTTTCAGCACTTCACCTCTGCGTACAGCACATCCTTCTTCTAGATGCTCCTCGGTGCTTCCATCTTCCCATTCTTCTTGGTTATTGACCCCAGAAGTTGGACGCTCCCCAGCTGTGCTTCCTTCTCTGAAGCGCTTTCACTATCGGAGCCTTTCGCCACTTTCTTCTTCATGGCACTTAGCGCCTTCTTCTTCGGGCAGTTCCTCACCAGGTGCGGTCCATTGCACAGGAAACACTCAAGCTGCCCTTTGCCTTCACGCTTCTTCTTTGGAGATCCAGTGCGTTGCCCATCCTTGCGCCGTTCCCGCCTCTTTGGGGACTCGTCAACACTATGCTCGTCATCGGTGGTTGGTGGAGACTGTCTCCCGCCTTTGCCCTTGGGTTTCCCTAGTACTTTGAAGTCATCCAAGTTCTCCGCCTCCGCTAGTGCAGTTGCAAGGTCTTTTACTCCCTAACTCTGCAACTCTCTTGCTGCCCAAGGCTGCAACCCATCCAAGAAGCCATACAACGCCTCTTTCTCTGCCATGTCGGGGATCTCCAATAATAGCGCGGAATACTCCTTCACATAGTCCCGCAACGTCCCCACATGCTTTATGCTGGAAATTTGTGTTAATGCATATAATAAGATAGTGGCATGTATAGAATATGATAGTGGTGTTGGTGGTAGATAGTGGCATGTATAGAATATGATAGTGGTGTTGGTGGTAGATAGTGGCATGTATATAATATGATAGTGGTAGATAGTGGTAATATATAATATGTAAGTGGCATATAATGGGTTATAATGATGTTTGTAATATCTCCTATATAAGGAGTGTCATTTGGTCTTGTAAAATAAGAAGTTTTGAATATAACAGAAATATATTCCTTCTTCCTCATATTTTCGGAGTTCTTCTTCCTCATATTTTCTAAGTCTTTAGCTTGCGTAGCTTCCTGTATGCTTGGAACTCGACATTGACAGGGTAGAAGTGCTTCTTCAACTCTCTCTTGAGTTCAGCCCAAGTCTCTATCTTGCACAGCCCCTTCTCCATGTCGGCATACCGCCTCCTCCACCATAGCATAGCAGTGTCCTTCAGATACATGGTTGCGGTCTGCACCTTCTCGTCTTCATCCGCGATGTCAACGTTCTCAAAGTACCGCTCCATGTTCCAAATGAAGTTGTCGATCTCACGGGCATCCCTTGCACCATCATAGCTCTTAGGTTCTGGCACACGAACCTTCTTCCTGGTTGGAGCCAAATTCCCTCCATTGCCAGCCACGATGGCCTTCTTGCACAACTCCAACTCCACTTCTAAGCTAGCGACTCTCGTCTCTAGGGCCTTCCGTTCAGTGGGACTGTCTCTAACTACCTCTGAGAGAGACGAATCACCCTTTCTTCGAAGGAGTCAACATTTTCCTCCAACTCTTCCACCCTAGCAATAAGACTAGCAAAGTGAGTGAAAAATTCTCCTACATGGGATGTGGACTTACCAGGGCCAACTAGAGCTTCCTCCAGCCTAGTGAACCGTTCTGCCACAATCTCCATCATCCCCTCAAGTCGTGCCTCCAATGCTACCATTGAGTCCTTCGTTGAGAGCTTCTTCACCTTTGGGACGTTACCACCTTCGTCACCCGACGTAGCCATGTACACCTCACTTGGTTACTTTCTCACGTAACCTTGCTCTAATACCAACTGTCACGGCCTTAGATTTCTAAGCCAACCGTGCGGCCTTAGATGCCTATCAACCCTCTTGGTTGCACCTAAGTCAGCCTCACCCACTCAACCACACTAACTTGAACACAAAGTTTAGGTGGAAGAAATGCCTTCACTATACAAGTTAAATTTACAAGTATAGTCGTGTACAAAGCTTTACAAGGCTCTCATTTTCACTTAATACATTCAGTTTTAAATACTTAATTATATCTTTGTCTTTCATTAACCCAATTATATAGAATTTTCATTAGTTAAAAATACTCCTACATTGCTATGTCTTGCCTTGGTGTGGACAAAATGGGGTGTGTATTATAGAATTTTATTATTTAATATATGTATATATACAAACGCTCCCTACTAACGCTTCTTGGAATATCTACGATTCCCCGATCCCGCTCCCGCTCCCGCTCCCGCTCCCGCTTCGTGCAACTATGTTCTAGAGTCTTCCAGCATACTCTAGCCCGCTCTTGCTCCTTCCGGAACCTTCCAGCACATTTGGCCACTTCAAATGCTGCTCCTTATGTCACAGAAATTCTCGGGGCGTGACACTAGGGTGGGGGTTTGGTGTGGAGCCCAACCATGTTAAAATTACTAAATTCAAGTAAAAGAGCTGGGGTATTTAGAAGCCTAACCCTTGGACATTGTGCTATGGAACTTAAGCGAACATGCACAACCCATTTTGTCTAGCCTAAGGAAACATGAGGTGAGATTTTGAAAATAGATTTCAAGTTGAGTGCCAATTAGCATCAATTATTTTTCAGTTAAACACACTGACAGGAGGAATCTTTTAATCCAAGCTAATTTAATTCAAATTAATTCCAAGTTATTTTAGCAGAATATAATACACAGAAAAATAAAGCAATCAATCATAGAGAGGCAACAACTCGACAAAAAACCATGGACACGAACACTCGACTAGTGTATCAAGATCAACTACTATGTTTACTAAGATCCAAACACAGATCCTACCTACCTAGTCAACACCCAGAGCAGGTTCGTTGTCCAATCTGCTATCCTCGCTTATTCAATCTCTCACTTGTACTCCTCCACACATCAATCACAATTTAGCTCTCCAACCGTCTGGTCCATGGAGCAAGCAGTGTACTGGTCCCAGTAATGATTGTACAAATTTAAATCTAGGTGAATAAAACACAACACTCGCAAAATCTAGAAACTCACAAAGATCAACCTTGACCCTTAAAAATTCTCGTAATGAAAAAGAGAGTATGAATTGGACTATTTGAAAAAGCTCACTGAAGTTCTCCCAATCCCCAATCTGTGTGTGTGTTCTCTTCAACAAATAAGCCAAGATATGTATTTGTTAGAATTTCCCATCTTTACCTTCACCTACTCCACTACACACTCCACTTCACCTACCTCCACTTCACCACACACTCCACTTCACCTAACCCACTATCACCTCCACTACACCTACTACCACATTTTCTTCTATATATAGATTGTATAGGAATTGTAATTAATCAATCTTGTAATACATCAATCAGATATCAATCAATAATACATTGAATTTTAACAGTATTTATAGGAAAGGGTAACCTAAGGGAACAAGGAAGCAAAAGCCAACAAGGATTCTATTCCAGGCACCCAATCCAAAGGAAATTGTGCTAATGCGTTCACTTTTGCTTCTTTTAAGATTGTAGTGCTTGTAGAACCAATGCACGTTAATATACAATTTATCTTTTCCAATTGTTAGTGTAGTCTGAATTTTTTTTTATTTTTTAATTTTTTTTTTATGATGAGGAACCCACCCCAAACATCTTGTGCACAAGTTTGGTAAACCCTAGATATATGCAATCACCCACAACACAAACCATTTATATCATGCGAGCCAAGGTGTTGCGCGTGAAATTTGAACACAGGACGTCTGAGTTTATGGTTCATCCCACATCAACCCCTTATTGCTGGGTTACTCATGTGGATTATTAGAGTAATCTCCACTCCTTTCTATGCTAAAGGAAATGTAGACTATCATACATGAAAAATAAAACCTAGCTTGAAGTGCATAGATCCAGATCAATCTAAGTTAGTGAGGCAACAAAAAAGTTCTATGAAAAAATCCAAGTTGATTTAATTTAATTTAAGGAGTCGCTAATGCCACACAAGTTTTATGGTGCCACAGACAATAATGACATATTTTCTAAATTACCCTCTTTTCGTTTTATTTTATCCTTTAATTATCTTTTCTCTGTCCTGTCCTCTTTAACTCTCTCGTTCCCCTTAAATTCTTCAAGATTTTGACTTAACACGGCATTCATCATTCAACAACCACACCACCATCTCCATAGTTGACTACTTGATAGTGTGTGGCTTTTTAACTGATCAATGTTTGAAATAAATACCAATATAATTACTTGAGTGTCTATTGCTGATAACCTTTTCTGTTTTACTGCTGCTTTCTTCCAGAATCAATTTTTCATATCAGGCCTTTCAGGGGATGAAATCATACAGAACCGCGTCCTCGAAGCCTTGTATCGGCGTATCTTGCGGGCTCACAAAGAGCAGAAGTGTTTCAGGGTGGTTGTCGTCATACCACTCCTACCCGGATTCCAGGTAGTAAATTAGTTTACTTTTGTTTTGAACCACATAAATCTTTGTTTATAGTACCTTTTCTTTTGTATTAATTTTGAATTGACAGGGGGGTCTGGATGATAGTGGTGCAGCAACTGTGAGAGCGATAATGCATTGGCAGTATCGAACCATCTGCAGAGGAAAAAACTCAATTTTGCATAATCTTAATGCATTGCTAGGTCCAAAGGCAAACGATTATATTTCTTTCTGTGGCCTTAGGACATATGGTAAACTCTCTGATGGCGGTCCTGTTGTCACAAGTCAGGTAGTTTACAGCATAACCTGTCTCCTTTTCATTTATACCGTATATCATTGTTTGTCAACCTCTTCTCATATTTATGATGTTATTTCTCCATCCAGGTATATGTTCATAGCAAAGTGTTGATAGTTGATGATCATATTACTGTGCTTGGATCATCCAATGTAAATGATAGGAGTTTGCTCGGATCAAGAGACTCTGAGGTAAAAACTGTATTTTGCCTTCAAGTTTAAGTTTTATGTTTTTAGTATGTCAAAGTCAGTTCAAAGGCAGAATTAGTTCTTTGCTTGTGATTTTAGCCAACACTAAAGCCCTCTTTCTGATTTGGTGGGTGTCATTGATACCATGCATCTAGTTATCGCTTAACTGAAAATAAATCGGAGATGAAATTATGAACTGTATACTGCAGAGAACCAAAAAAAAAAAAGCTAAACTTCACCACCGCCTTGAACCATCAATTTTTATCAATTTGAACCTTCCATTAAGAGGGTATGTTATGTAAAGGGATGGAAAATTGACATCTGACTTGCAGGTAAAGTGTAATTAAATAAAGTCCAAAATATCTGAAAGATTACCGTCTTGCTGAGTTTTATGGATTGTTGCGTTGAAGGTTCAACTTTACAGTTTCTTCATTTTCTCCTTCCTCCTCTATGTTCCCTCTCTTTAAGGCAGCCGTCTTTGCTCACTAGTGTTGCTCTTCTCCTTTCTGGGAATAATTTACTATTTCTAACATTCAAGTTTCTCTCTCAGATTGGTTTTGTTATTGAAGATAAAGAGTTTGTTGAATCATCAATGAACGGAGACCCTTGGAAGGCTGGAAAATTTGCTTTGAGTCTTCGGCTTTCCCTCTGGTCAGAGCACCTTGGTCTTCATGCAGGAGAGGTTAGTAATTGATAAATTTAAGTGCTAGTGCACTTCTTTTTTCTCTCACCCAACTCTACTTTTAAAGGACACAACCTAAATTGGCAATTACTAACATTGAATTGGTAACACTGTGTTTGATACATCATGCTATCATTTTGCTTTTTCAGATTAAGCGAATCAGAGACCCCATAGCTGACTCTACTTACAAAGATTTGTGGTTGACAACTGCAGAGGTGAGAATGATATTAAAATGTAAAACAATGTCCAATCAGGTGTTTGTATTCGATGGTTGAGACAAAAGGAATAAAATAAAGAATTGTTGTGCTAAAAATATGCCGAAGGCCTCAATTTCCTTTTAGAACTACAATTCTCTCTCTCCACAGCTATGTATGTAGGATGGAGAAGATATCATTTCATTTCCAAATGCCCTAGTTAATCTCTAATATGTTTGTATATGCAATCAAAAATACCAAAAAGATTCACATACATTTATTTGTACGTAGGTGTTTCTGAATTTTTCTAAGTGTGAGGTTTCAATGGCATAATTGGCATTCCACTTTTCTAATAATTTTCATATTTGTCTTCTTAGGCAGCTACTATACCTTGTTTTCGCTTGAAATTACAAGAAACCAAAAACTTACCCTAATTAGGTTTCTTGAATCGCAAAACCTTGTGAAATTGGTACCACATGCGAATTTTTTGTACATCTTCTCCCAACACGTATGGCACATGCTTACAATTCTTGACCTATCACTTGATTATTTTGATCACCACATACTAAAAGCTGGCAGATTGGTGTACCAAAAAAGGTGTTTATTACTGATGATCAAATAATGAGTCGGTGTTGATTTTTGTGAAAGTTACTTTCTGTCTGTGCTTCTGCTCATCGTCTAAATAACAATTCTTATCTTTTGACAGACTAATACCACAATCTACCAAGACGTCTTTGGTTGCGTCCCCAATGATCTTATTCACTCCAGGTACCAAACTGCCTTCACCATCCTCTTCTTCTTAGTACTTATTTAACCTGTTTGGCTGTTGTTTTCCCGTTCTCCATTTTTGTTTCTCGTTTTCATTTTTGTTTTTCATGTTTTTAGAACAAAAACAATGAAAAGTTTAAAATCCATCATCGTTTATCATTTTTATGTAAAACAATTTTTGAAAATTTTGAAAGAACTTTTGGGTGAGTTTTCTTTACTTGTTTTCTAAAAAAAATTAAAAATTATAAACTAGTTTGACAAAAATAAACACAAAAAAAGATATTTTTAAATTTTCAAAAATTTCTCTCTCCAAAAAAGAGAGAACTATATGAAAATAACGAGTTTTTTTGTTTTTTTATTTTTTATTTTTTCACCAAACTTTTTTTATTTCATTTTTTTTTAAAAAAAAATTCATAAAAAATATATTCTAAAAACTCAACTAAACAGAAAACAAAAAACACAGCCAATCAGAGAACAGAAAGCATAACCAAACAGATTCATAAATTTTTCATAAAATAAGTTTTTGGAAACAAGTGGACAAACAAGTTTTTTGAGCGTGTATTTTTTTTAAATGAAAACAAAAAGCAGAAAACGAAATCACAGCCAAATATAGGGATTTTTTTTCCTTCCGTTTTCTCATTTCCCAATGCTCTTTCACACATTTGCGCATTATTGTCGTCAAATGCAGGTCTGCATTTAGGCAAAGCATGAACCACTGTAAAGAGAGGATCGGATACACCACTATTGATTTAGGAGTAGCTCCCGAGAAGCTAGAAAGTTGTGAGGATGGAGAAACTAAAGTAACCGATCCAATGGGTAAACTGAAGTCGTTGAGAGGATTTCTTGTTCTTTTTCCCTTAGAATTCCTGTGTGAAGAAGATTTGAGACCGATGTTTGTTGAGAGTGAGTTTTATACATCTCCACAAGTGTTTCATTAAGTAGCATTTAGGAGGAACTGTTGAAAGCATTATGATCGCCAAAAGGAGAAAATCGTGGTAGCAGTTGAAATGTGGTTGGCAAAGAGGTCAAGAGCGGCCAACTTTGGAAAGAAGAAAAAGGATCAAAAGATGATCGAACAAGTTGTTTCTGACTCTAACTCAGCTTCTTTCTAGGAGGAGGTGGTTGTCAATGTTGAGGCAGAATTTGAATCAAAATGATCTTTTGTTGGAGATCGGTAATTAGAAGTTCTAATGAAGAAACACTTCGTACATCAATGCGAATAGATTGACCGGTTGTATAGTATTGCATGGAAAAATAAATATAAATAAAAAATAAAAATAGGAAAAAGAATGAAAAGGAATACTTATTAATCAGTCTTATTAATTAGATTTATTTATTTACAAGTCCGGATTGATAAATTTATCATTGTAAATTTATTTATAAAAATAAGAGAGATTGATAAATTTGTCACTTGATAAATTTATTAATAGAACTTGATGAGTAATAAGTCTCAAAGCTAGGGCCTATTAGTAGTTTATCTAAATTATGAAAGGGGGGAAGGCAGCGTGCATTGGCATTGTTAAATTCGAATACTGTTTGTAGTTTGCTTTGTTATGATTAAAGTTTTGAATTATTCCTAGGGTTGCTGTTATTATTAAATGCTGCTCAATTGTAAATGGAGTTTGTAAGTGTTGAGCACTCTAATGATTTGACTTTCCCAAATTTTCCTGACAAAAACATTATTGGCCGAAAACATGAAAAACATTATATTAAATTTTAAAGGGTCATACAAATCATATACTAAAATGAAAAAAAACACAAACAAACAAACATAAAAAAAAATAACAAATTTATTAAAAAAATCAGTTGCAAATTAAGAAAAATTACCGATTTTTTTTAGAAATATAATTTAAAAAAGTAAAATTTACATCAAATCAAGCAAGATCTTCTTGAAAGATCATCACCTCCGTTGACTTCGTCTCCCTCATTGCTGCTCAATCAATTATAACGTCATCTCCATAGTTGCTGCTCAATCAATTATGACGTTGTCTCCGTCGTTGTTACTCAATCAATTATTGTGCTTATTAGCCGAATTATGAATACGGAGAGAGCTTTGAATGAGGTTGTTTTTGAAATATTTATGGAACCTTATGACTTAACAGCTAATCTCATGGATTTGTCCTTTTTAGCTCAAAACCAAAAGGCGTCTCGATAGTAGTGATTAGACGTGTGGCCTAACCCTCACGCAAAAAGTATTGTCTGCAATGACCCAGCCCAATAGCTAACCTCACAGGCTTGACCCTTGGGACTCAAACCCAAAGGCAGTGCCAAACATGGTAATATGCACAAATTCTGAGTACGTAGCATTATTAGAGTGATTCCCATGAACATTTTTTTTTCAGATAAGGTAATGTGTATTATGCCAACACTACCAATATAAAGAAAAATAAAGAAGAAGAATATTAGGAAAAGATCATAGACGTGAAGAAGTAATTGCCTTGATCTTCTTTTTTTGGCCTTTATTTCATTGCTGTGTTGGCTAAGTTATTACGTGGTGATTATGCTCAGAAGATAAAGGAGGAGAGTGAAAAAAGAGACAAATAGCCGAAATATCGTCCGCCACAAAACCTCGCCTCTTACGTTTCCATGCTTGGGAGGCATGCTCAACCAGGCGTTTCGCCGACTTCGCCCTGTCGGGAGTTGAATATACAATTTGCACTGCTTCTTGATTGGAGACAACATCCCATACCTAAAAAAAAACCAAAAAAAAACAAGTATTTTGTGTTAGGTTTTGACAAAGAATTTTCTTGCATACCGAAAACATATACATTAAATGTGAAGTTACATGGTTGGTTTACTTTACAATTTTTCTTTTCAGATTTTCTTCTTCTTTTTTTTTAAAAAAACTAAAAAATAGTTTGGTGAGAAAAAAAAATAAAAAATCAAAAGCACTCATCATTTTCTTTTTTCTTTTTTCTTTTCTTTTCTTTTTTTTTTTTCATTTTGGCAACTAATTTATACATATTTTTTTTAAAAAAATACAGAGATAGGTCATGAATGATACACATCACTATTGTTCTATTCTTAGGTTCCCAAGAGCATCTCCAATAGAGTTCTCAAAACACTTGTCAAAACTATAATTTAGCAATAGTGATAAAAAATGGGTCTCCAATGAATTCTTATTTTACTTGCTAAAGATGACATATGTCATATATGTTCTCAAATTTGGCAAGTAAAATAGCAATTGCCAAACATGTCACATCAACAAATATGAACATATTTGTGACTCCGAATTCAGTTGAAAAAACAGAATTGAAACAGTAGAAAACCAAGTAATTTTTTAAATTTAATTTTTCTATTTAATTTTTCAAATTCAATAATATTTAATTTTTTTTATTTTTTTATATTTATCTAGTTGGGAGTAATATAAATATATAATTTTTTTTACAAATAGTTAAAAAAAAGTCATAAAAGACAAAAAATAAACAGAAATAAAATCATAAAAAAACCTATATCCAAACAACATCTTTAAACTTGGAGGGAAAGTTGGTTGAGAATTACCAAAATAGACCATTAAAGCACCATTGCTATAATTTGACAAAATAACACTATTCATTGCCAAATTATAACAATAACTAAGGAGTGCTTTGGGGTTCGAGTTCATAAAGCAGCATTGAACGCTCAATTGTATATAGAGATGGCAATTTAAACCCGGCCCGACGGGGACCCGATCCCCCGACCCCGAAATAAGTGGTTTTTCCCCGAAAAATATCCCCACGGGGATCCCCACGGGGACGGGGATGGTATTAAAAAATCACTCCCCGATCAATTTCAGGCCGGGGACGGGGATAGGCTCGTCAGCCCTGGCCCCGCCCTGGAATTTTCCCGATTTCTCCCCGCCACTGATGATTAGTTGTATTATTAAATATTAGTTGTATTATATTAATTTTGATGTCAACTCTCCCATTTCATTTCCTCTCATTTCCTGTGTCTCTCTCTCTCACCGACCGTGGCTCTCATCTCTCTCTCCCTCAAATCTCAGACTGTCTCATCTCTCTCCCTCCCTCTCCTCTCCCTCTCCCTCTATATCTCCCTCCGTCCGTGAAGCGATCTCAGACTCTGTCTCATCTCTCTCCCTCCCTCTCCTCTCCCTCTCCCTCTCCATCTCCCTCCGTCCATCTCCCTCCCTCCATCCGTGAAGCGATCTCAGACTCTGTCTCATCTCTCTCCCTCCCTCTCCTCTCCCTCTCCCCCTCTCCCTCTTCCTCTCCCTCTCCCTCTCCCTCCGTCTGTGAAGCGCTCTGTCCGTCAGACCCCTCCGTCCGTGAAGCCCTCCGTCCTTCACCGTTAGATCTTGAAGCCCTCTGTCAGATCATGAACCCACCGTCTGAACAGATCTGAAGAAGAAGAACCTTCCGTCCGGGAAGCCCTTCGTCAGATCATGATTCGTGAAGCCCTTCCTCCGTCCGTGAGCCCTCCCTCAGATCTAAATTTTTTTTTTGATGATTGTTGTGTATATATATATATATATCTGTATATATAAATATCTATGAGACGGGGACGGGGACGGGGACGGGGACGGGGGGAAGTTCTGCCATCGGGGACGGGGAGGGTGATCCCCGGCCCCGCCCCGCCCCGTTGCCATTCCTAATTGTATAAACCTAATCTACTAACTCGCTAACATTTTACCGACGAAAAAAAAAAGTGTTATTTACATGGGAAAAGTTAGGAATCATGAAAATTTTTTCATGAAAATGATTATGAAAAATTTATGATCTTTGGATTACCTTAATTAGTGTGTAATGTTTTATTCTAAGTGTAATTCAAAGATCACAAAACTTTTATGATTATTTTTATGAAAATTTTTTCATGCTGAATTTACATACCCCATCTGTTGCAAGCACAACAAATTGGTCTTGGTTGGATATATGTCTTTGTGTGACTTCAGGCACAGAAATGAGTCCAAATTCCTTGACAAAGTAGTCGCCGAAGGCTCTCGACATTGCCAATCCAGGTGATTCCACGTCTGGTAGCCAAACCCGATGCACCCCTGGCTCGTCTTCTAAACAGAAGACTCGCCCGTTGCACTGAATTATCCGTTCTGCTTCCTCTGTTTCAACATAAACAAAATTATAATGGTTGATCAAATGGAGAGAGAGAGAGAAGTTGGGGCAGGGCTATAAACAAATAGAGCTGTTTATGAGCTCGGCTCATTTAAAGTTTGTTTGAACTTAGTTTGTTTATTTAGTAAACGAGCTCTACTTGAACTTGAGCTTGACTAATTCTTAGCAAACCGAGTTTGAACACTCAAAAGTTTAGCTTGGCTCTTTTGCAAGAGAGAGAATGAGAGAGAACTGACGAGGTAGATTGGGCTTGAAGTCGACAGTAAGTTGAACTGGAACCAAGCTGCCATCATCAGACATGCTGGCCAATACAGCACGGGAGTCACCGACATTTGCCACAACCAAAAGTTCACCCTAGCAAAACAACCATCATAAGAGAATGAGAAAATCATGCTAATCCTAAGTTCCTGAGAAAATTTCTTAGGTTCATAACATTAACAAATATTATTAGCAAATAAAACCAACAAACATTATTAGTAAATAATAATAAGGTTTTTAATGGCCTTTTAAACTGAGTTCTAGCTTTATTACCGATCATTTTCCAAAAGATTTAACTGTTACTTTTTTATGGGATTTTAGTGTTTTTCTTTTTTTTCTTTTTTCTACTAAAAGCAAAAGTTAGAAGTTCGGAAGCAAAAAAAATTGCTCGTGATTATATATAGAAATTAGATACTATTCTAGGCCGACTTAAGAAGTAATTGTATAAACTTCACCTTTCGCATTCTGTGTAAAAAGCACTTCCAAAACTTCGGTGAAACCAGTTTCTGAATCAAAATTCTAACTACAAAATGGCACCAACACGAAAAAAGCCCGGACCTGCAAAAGAAATTTATTTCCACCCACCATTGACGTTGAGGACCACTTCTGAGAGCTGTCTAAACAACGATCACGCCTTTTAAATGTGGCAAATTTGATGGCGAAAGGACAGTTTGCATAAGCAGCACGATTCCCACTTGGGCAATAATAGTCAAATTCAAACATAAAGATGGCCTACAAAGCTCGTCAAGTCTCTTCAAATAACTCAAATCCATGAAGTCTTTTCAAATTACTCAAAGCTATGGTTGAATGATTTAGCACTCTACCTATTATTAAGTGATTCATCGAGTTTGGATGTTTCCTTAACGCTGGGTTTGATTGGAGGATTTGAGGAGGGATTTGAAAAGGGAAAGGGAAAAGTTAGGTGAAATGTAAATAAAATATACTTACAATTCACCTAGTTTCACACACCTTTTCCCTTTCTCTTTCTAAATTCCTCTCCAAATCCCCCAACCAAGCACAGCATAAAAGTTCAGCATTGTTATCTAATCATTAGTGTCATTTTATCAAAACTACAGATTAAAAACCATGTAAAAATTTATATAGAGGCATTCATAACTCTTCCAAAACTCGTGTCATAGTAGTTACATTGATGTGAAGAGTCTGTAATTTTTCATAGTGGGGCCAAATTCTACCACGCAAAAAGTTTCTTCCCCTTGAATGTCAGATAATGCATAAAACAACCCATATCACATTTCTTTTAAAAATTCAGTTCTTGCGCTCCCTTTGTTTTTTTGTCATCGAGGAAATTACTTATGGTCATACGACACATTAATCAATAAGAAATTATACATATAAGCTAAGCAAACTATCATCACCAAAAAAAAAAAAAGATTATTAGGGATCTTCCATTACCTGCCTAACAATTGTGAGAGCAGTGGTCCCACTGTAGAACGAATCAATTTTGCGAAGCTGCATTAGATCTTGATCAACAGTGGCACAAGTCTTTACGTAGGAATGCTTCCATATATTAAATGTATGAAGCTTCTTATCCGATTCCAAATCAAAATCCAAATCCGGGTTGAGCGAAGCTTCAGTAAGCGTCTCTTGCCAATTGCACAGCAAAACCGAGGGCATTGTTTCTCTAACCCTCTTTGCCACATAATGTCCCCATTGACCATGCCCATCGAAAATCCCACAAAACATAATGTCATCTTGGCCTCCAAATTCCTACCCACCAAACACATACAATCCACATCTATTAACTTCAAACCCCCCAAACAAAACCAAAGCAAAAATCATGATATAAACTAGGAACAAAATTTGTTTCTTTTCCATCAAAATGGACAAAAACAATAGTGGAATACTGAAATTCCAATGTTTCCAGCAGAACATACTGGCATGCACCAATATACACAAACTCTACAAAACATACCAAAGCAATGCGTTGTTCGACACTTAATAACAATATTTAACAATGTTCATTTTTATTTGCCTCTTTCCATCAAAAGAAAAATTTGAGAATAAAGAAAAGTAATAAATTTATTAAAAAATCCAGAAAGGAGAAGATAAAACAGACATTAAAATCTAAATAACACAAAAACAAATGAAAACTTGCAAAATCATATAAAAGCTGTTTTTTAATGACCAAAAAAAGACTAAAATTAAGGTCATAACAAGCAAAATTGTCTAAAAACCTACCTCCCACACAATAAAGCAATCTTGGTTCACTCCTTTCTCTCCTCTTTTGGAGAAAACAGATGCAAAATTGTTCGACCCATTGACATGAACAGTCCCCGAAGACCGCAATATCAACTCGTTCTTCTTTGATTCTTTCACCATTGATTCTGCAGATTCACTTCCGCCACAATACCCAGAATTCCGCCCGTTCTTGATCGAAAATGACCGCGCCAGTCCATTGAACAAGGATGAAAAATGACCCATTTCAAACACCCTCTCTGCACAATTCAATTCCCATAAGTTCTTGTTGATTGCAGATTCAAAATTCTTAACAAACAAATATAGATATACAATTGAATCGTGTTATAGTTAGCTGAGTAAAAGATGTTACATGAGTGAGAAAGCTAAAAGAATCTATGAATTATTAAAAATGGATACAAACATTCAGGATGAATCTGGAAGAGACTAAAAAACACATGCTTAAGTAAACGGAAATCAGAAAATAGTCAATCTTACATGGAATTAGAACAGTACACGTAAGTAACACTTGTTTGGTAGCTCAGAAAATGAACCGACAGAAATGAAGAAAAAAAAAAATTCAATAATCCGAATCTTAAACTTCCCAGTTATATATATATTATATATATATATGACCATTCAGAAAACAGAGGATCCAGAATTTTCTTTAATTTTTTGTCTCCATTTTCTAAGCAACCGAACAGAGGGTAAATCTAAGTCTACAAGTAATACCCAAATAGAAGTAGAGAGAAACAAACAGATGAGTAAAACATGTGACAATGGTCAGAAAGCTAAGAATCTGAAATTTTTCAAAAATAAAAACAACATTATCGATCAGAAAGAAACTAAACAACCATTCCATAATGGAAATCACGAAAAGCAGAGGAAATTCAGTCTTAAATGGAATTCCAACAGCACAAGTAAGTAACTCGTGTTTGGTATATCAGAAAATAAACGGACACATTAAGCTAAAATGGAAAAAGAAACTAAACGGACCTAAAATTTTTTTAAAAAAAAATCAATAATCTGAATCTTAAACAACCCATTTTATAAAATTAAAAAAAAATTATATTATATATAAAATTAAAAAAAATAAAAAGACCATTGCCCGTGGCAACCGCAGAAGACCCAGAACTTACTTTACATTTTCTTTTCTTTTTCCTCCATTTTCTAAGCAACCGAACAGAGGATAATTCTACTGGAAACAAAACAATCTGAGCCTGCAAAAAATTCCTTTACTTTTTCTTTTCTTTTTGCTCTATTTTCTACGATACCAAACATAGGGTAATTCTACTTGAAGCAAAACAATCTGAGTCTGCAAACAATATCGTAAATAACCCAGAATTTCATTTTCTTTTTCCTCCATTTTTCTACGCAACCAAACAGAGTATAATTCTACTAAAAGCAAAACAAACTAACTCTAAAAATAAAACCCATTTCGAATTAGAGAGAGAAACAAACAAATAAACCTTTTCCAGGAATATTTGATTGGATGAGTGAGAAAATACTAGGCCGGAAACTGACAAACTGGCCGGAAAATCAATATTGTTGGCAAGTAAATGACGAAATTCCGACGACCCAAAATGAGATTGTGAGAAATGGAAGTGAGAGATAAATGGAAATCCATAGTTTTGGTGTTTACTTTGAGATCTTTTTAATCTGTGAAGAAGAAAGAAGGAGAAGAATACAAAGAAAGAAGAATGGCTTTTTCGTACACACGGGAAAAATTGTAGGCGGACTCTTTTTCATAACTGTGCGTCCGTTTATCTTTACGTCATGTTTAATTACTTTTTTACCCCTATCTTGTGGCATGGTCGAGGGTATTTTCGGAAATAAGTAAGTTAATATTATTTTAAACGATAAATTACAACCTCCTGAGATTTGTTTAAAATACGAATTGTCCCTTCTGATTTGAAAAATTAAAAATACCTCATTGTCAAAATTTTTTATTTAACAGAAATAATTAAAAAAGTGAAATTTCTAACTATTCACCTATACAATAATAAAATTATTTGAATTATTAATTGAAATAAATTTTTAACATTATTAAAAACTGTTAATTAACTTGATAATTTATTAATAAAAGGGCCTATTTATTATGAAATTAGAAATCTTCGGGGCACAATATAATTTCTAAAATTATAAAAAATAATTTGTAATTTAAATAAATCTCAAATGATGTATTTGTAATTTATCCCATTTTAAAATAATAATTTTACAAAAGTTATGTAGAAAAGTGTTAACAATGTAGGATGAGTAACGCCCAAAATATATTTAATTTATATTTTCTTTATTGAATATTTTCTAAAAATATGAAAAATTCTTAGGCCTATTTTAATAATTAGGAAAAAGTTAACTTAGTAATTTATTTAAATTATATCACTTCTCTATTTTATTATACGTTTCTTTTAAAAAAAGTCAAAAAAATTAATTTGTTTTCTTCTTCATAAAATAGGCCTAGGTATGTATAATTCAATCACTCAATCAATCTGAACTCTCTTCCATAATAGATAAATGTATAAATTGTCCATGTAAGATAATTGTGTCTCATTTTATAATCAACTATCGTGCACTTAGAAAAATCATTAAAATATATCTTTTAACCCTTAACTTTGTAGCCCAATCATCCATGAAAGAGGTAGGGATGTAATTTTGGCCTAGTCCGGCCTTGCGAGCTCTCGCCAAAAAATCGAGCTGGGCTGGGCCGGGCCGGCCTACGGGCTAGAAAATTAAGCCCAGGCCCAGGAGTATTTGGGCTTTTGGGAGGGCCAATGGGCTGGGCCCCTGGGCTCGGTCTTGGGTCGGCCTAAAAAAAAATTTAAATTTTTATTTTTATTTTTTCTACCAAAATTTTATTATTTTCCATTAAAATAACACTTGGCATTGGGTGGGCCGGGCCTCAGGGCAGGCCTTGAGCGGGCTGGACCGGACTTCAAAACGATGGCTCAGGCCCTGGCCCAAGGCCTCGGGCTGGGCTCGGGCTCGGACCGCCTGCGGGCCACGGGCCAAAATTACACCCATAGGAAGAGGGCGTTTTAGGAAATCAATTAGTTAACACTCTTTAAAATTCATTATTCAATAGTTAGAAAAATGTCTCAAATATATACATAAGTTGAGGATGAATTAGGTAGGGGTGGGCAACGGTTTATCCGAACCGTCCAATCCGCCCAACCCGCATATAAATGGGCGGTTTTGCAAATATAATGCGGGCGGATGCGGTTTGAAATATGACAAATTTGCGGGTTGCGGGCGGGTCACGGTTTAAACCCGCAACCCGCAAAAACCGTCCGCACTTTAATTATTATTATTATTTTTTTTTTTTATATACCAACTTTGTAACTTTTACAGAAGCACCATTATATTCTCTATGACACTAGGATACTTATTTTTAAGTATTTCTCAACTTTCTTAATGCCGTAGAATTATCAAGTCTTAAACTTGGTTTCTTATATGATTTTCATTGGTGATTCATCCACTTTTTCCTAATAAAATTTTCCTTCTAATGGTCGATGGAACTTATAGTTTGATTATTGATTACTGAACTGGCAATTCTAATTGAGTACAACCTTTAATGCATTGATATACATTTTTTTCATGGCAAAAATGCTAGTGTAGGGTCTCTTTGTTTTGGGTACTTTCATTTAATGCATTGATATTCAATTTTTATTTGTAAACTCATCAAAAAATTATTATCACAAATATATTGGGTCGTGCCTACAAAAAATTTAAATTTTTATTTTTATTTTTCTACCAAAATTTTATTATTTTCCATTAAAATAACACTTGGCATTGGGTGGGCCGGGCCTCAGGCAGGCCTTGACGGGCTGGACCGGACTTCAAAACGATGGCTCAGGCCCTGGCCCAAGGCCTCGGGCTGGCTCGGCTCGGACCGCCTGCGGGCCACGGGCCAAAATTACACCCATAGGAGAGGGCGTTTTAGGAAATCAATTAGTTAACACTCTTTAAAATTCATTATTCAATATTAGAAAAATGTCTCAAATATATACATAAGTTGAGGATGAATTAGGTAGGGGTGGGCAACGGTTTATCCGAACCGCCCAATCCGCCCACCGCATATAAATGGGCGTTTTGCAAATATAATGCGGGCGGATGCGGTTTGAAATATGACAAATTGCGGGTTGCGGGCGGGTCACGGTTTAAACCGCAACCCGCAAAAACCGTCCGCACTTTAATTTTATTATTATTTTTTTTTTATATACAACTTGTAACTTTTACAGGAGCACCATTATATTATCTATGACACTATAGGATCCTTATTTTTAAGTATTTCTCAACTTTCTTAATGCCGTAGAATTATCAAGTCCTAAACTTGGTTTCTTATATGATTTTCATTGGTGATTCATCCACTTTTTCCTAATAAAATTTTCCTTCTAATGGTCGATGGAACTTATAGTTTGATTATTGATTACTGAACTGGCAATTCTAATTGAGTACAACCTTTAATGCATTGATATACATTTTTTTCATGGCAAAAATGCTAGTGTAGGGTCTCTTTGTTTTGGGTACTTTCATTTAATGCATTGATATTCAATTTTTATTTGTAAACTCATCAAAAAATTATTATCACAAATATATAAAATGAATCTGATGCCTAAATTCACTGGGAAAAAAAAACTCGAAAATTAATTTTTAAAGAAAAAAGTGTAAACCGCAAACCGCCCACAACCGCCCGCACATTTGTAAACCCTATCCGCACAAACCGCAAACTGCACTGCGGGCGATTGCGAGTTGACTTTTTCCCAAACCGCATAGATGCGGGCGGGTCAAAACCGAACCGCAAACCGCACAAAACCGATCCGCGAACACCCCTAGAATTAGGTTCACATATTTTCTTTTTGTGATACTAAGGTCTCGTTTGGCAATATCACTTTTAGTTTAAATGTCAAAAAATTATTTAAAAAATAAAAAAACTAACAACTTATACCAAAAATTCAAAAATTTTATTTTCTCTCTACTTTTTGCACATCTTTTCGTAAAAATCAAAAAGTCATCCTAAACATATTAATTTTTTTACATCATATTTTAACTAAAAAGCTAAAAAGTTATTAGGGTTGGTTTGGCATATACTACATAATCCATATTTTTATCTTTTTTTCATCACATCACCTTTCTACTTTTCTGCACATCTTTTCGTAAAAAGACAAAAAGTACACTTTTTTAAGACATCCCAAACCAACCCTAAAAAAAATTGTTTCTAAACGAGGCCTAAATCAATTATTGTCATGTGAGATGGCCACATCACATGATGTCTAAATTTAGAAGTGAGTTAAAAGTTACTTCACAGTTTTTAATTTATTTTGAGTCACATCATCTCTCATATTTTTTACACGTTTTAAAAAAAAAGTCAAAAAAAAAAATAACTTTTAACCATCTTCAAAAAAAAAAAACAACCCCTAATGAAAAAATAATACATCACTCATGATTGAACTTTACTATTAAATTTTAAAGATTATCTCATATGTCATCAACACACAATTTAAAATTTTGAAAGTGGACATTAAACCAAATAAATACATTATAACATAATGGATTACATTTAAAATTTGGCCACCATTAATATTATAGTCATGACAATTACTGTTGTAATGATAGATAGTCTAAATGGCTTATTTTGCAACGTATGCATTGAACAATATTTTACAGGTTACAAAACAAAAAATGTTATTAAATAAAATGTGCTTTGATCATCATTTTTGAATAAACATTAGGTGTGGAATTTATAAATTAATTTTATTTTCTTATTTGTGGAAGAAGAATAATACAGGCATTCCTATTCTCTAGAATATGGCACGTTTAAGGTAATTTAATGTGTGCTATGGAATTGAATATTCAAAAACTACAGATTAGTTAGCAACAAAACATAGAAAGAAATTAATAAATAATTTTTTTTTTTTTTAAAAAAAGGTTAATCTCTTGGACTGAATATTAAGGCTAAGTTTGGCATACCCAAAATAATCCATCTTTTTATCTTTTTTTCATCATATCACCTCTCTACTTTTCTGCACATCTTTTTATAAAAACACAAAAAGTACACTTATTTAAGTCATCCCAAATAATCCCTAAATTAAGCAGGACTTGTTCTTAATTAGTAAGAAAAACATATAAGTCATAACTTGAACTGAATATTATACAATTAATGTTAAGATGATTAAACTTTAATATCAAATTTACTTATTATTTGACATGGCACTTTACCTATATTGTTTAGGGTTCATTGCAATGATGCAGAGATAGGTGCTGTTTGGTATAGCTGTTAAAACAGATTATGTGCCTGTTTGGTGCAGCTTAAAAGCTGCTTATTTCAGCTTTTAGCTTAATTTAAACTATTTTGATGTGTTTGGTTTAGCTTAACAATGCAGCTTATAACTTTTTGTAAGTCAGAAATTAGCTTACTCTTTGAGTAGGGCAGGAGATGCTTAATTTATAAGTCAGAAATCAGCTTATGTTCATAATTATAAGCTATAAGCTATTAAGACATAAGCTATAAGCACTTTCCTACAGCTCTACCAAACAGGGCCTATAGATTATAGCTTAACAGATTATAGATTATGACTTTAATCAGAAGCTGTTAATCTGTTTGGTATAGTTGTTGGATTATAGATTTAAGTTGCTGAGTAGTGTTTGTTAAATAAGTTGTGAAGTAGCTTTTTCAATTAATTTTTATTTTTTATTATTCACTATTTGTCTACATTTTTTATAAAAAATAATAATA